AATATGGCACTCCATTCTCTTCTGGCCTGTAGTGTTTCCTCTGAGAGGACAGCTGTGAGTTTGACTGGGGTTCCTCTATAGGTCACTCAACTTTTTTTACGTGCACATTTAAGGATTTTTTTCTTGTCGTTCAACTGAAGATAGCTGGATGTCTGGCAGGCGCTGGAAACAATCACCGGAGCCTAGATCACCGAATCCTGGATTGCCGGAATCTTGAGTTGCTGCTCGCCAACCGCTGCTGGATTTTTCTGTCCACCGCAACACTGCTCTGCTGCCACTGCTTCCCTGTGTCCAGGGGGTCTCCAGGTTTCCCCTGCTTACTGCCTGGTCCCTATTTCCCCAGTAATCTGCTTCTTGTATTTCACCCTGTCTAAAGATTCTCTGTCATATCAAAGGTGTCTGTACCCTATGTCGCCATCTTGCCTCTCCTGAGCACCAGTTTTTAAAAAATGATTACATATGTATGAGAGAGAGGGAGAGAGATAGAGAGATGTTCCACCTGCTGATTCACTCCACAAATGGCTGCATAGGTCAGGGTTAGGTTGGACCAAAACTAGGAGTCACAAATTCCCTCCTGGTCTACTTCCTGAGCCGCAGGGGCTCAAGCACTGGAGCCATCATCTGTTGCTTTCCAAGCACATTAGTAGGGAGCTGGACCAGAAGCAGAGCAGCCAAGACTTTGATATGAGATGCTAGCATTACAAACAGTAGCTTAATCTCCTATGGCACAAAGCCAGTCCTTCAAGAGAATTATTTTATCATGATTTCTTTGGGGTGATTAACATCTACAGAATACAAGTAACATGTCCTAGTAAAAAGCACGTCTGAGTTAGAAGACTGTGCAATTTTCAGTCTTACAATTTTAGACAGATTTTTTTCTGTAAAACAAGATTAAAAATCTCTACGGGACTGTTGTGAAGACTAAATGCAATAATGCACACAAAAGCAACACGGCTTGATTATTAACATTCAGATTGAAGTCATCAGATATTTTATCTACCCAGGGGGCATGTACTTTTCAAATGAGAAAGATACATGTATCTGCTAATGCTATTTGCAAAACAACTTGCGGAGTTGCCTGAGGAGCAGTTAAATGGTGATCTTTAAGAATGGCATCCTATAGCTACTGTTTGCTGAACATTTCATCCACAATAGGTTCTTTGATAGGATATTTATACATGATTTCCAAACCTTACATTACCCCTACAAAGTGGGTATTACTATCTCTGATATGCCCAGGGACATTCAGTTACCCTAGAAAAAACAGGTAAGTCCTTTTTATCAACCCCATGCAGCTCATTCTTGTTACATTGAATCAGATCAGAGCATATCTTCCATTAGCTGCATTTCACTCTGCTAGAATAGATTTGGGATGTGACCCAGTGCTTTCATGAGATCTGGGACACAACATTTGCAAATTGTCTTTGGTGTGCCATCTAAAAAAAAAAAAAAAAAAGAAAAAGAAAAGGAAAAAAAAAACCCCCAAAACCCAAGTCTCAGAAGTTCTAGCTGTTTCTTTCTCTTTTTACAAATTTGGTACATCTACAGACCTGTTTCCATCCCCTGCTTCAAATGAAGTAGCTACTTAAACCAGAAACATGAAAAGAGGAATGAAGTCGCCGCAAATTATTGATGGTCTGGAAGGAGACCTGGGTCAAGGTATACATAATAATTTTAGGCTAGCTTTCCCTTCCTAGGGGATCGGAATCTTTTTATTTAAAGTTTTAATGTGGAGGCAAACATATACAAATACAGGTTGGTTCACTCTCACTTATGTCCACAGTGGCTGGGCAGCTGAAATTGGAATTCAGGAACTCGATCTACCTTTCCCACATCCGTGGCAAGAATCCAGTCACTTGAGCCACACCTGCTTCTTCTCACGGTCTGCACTGAGCAGGAAGCTACACTAGAAGCTAGAACTGGAAACAGTGATGCAGTCTGACATGGGACACAGGTGTCTTAATTAGTGTCTAAGTGACTAGGCTAAATGCCTGCTCCTTATTTTTTTGTAACCAAGGTTCAAACCAGCATTCAGTGTCTGTTATTTAACCAAGTTACTTCCAATATATGATATTTGATCTTTGGTTTTCTTATCTGTAAAAGGAGGATGAAGTGGAGATGCAAATAACAACTATGCATGAAATGTTCAGCTCAGTTCAACAAATTTTTATAATGTATTTAGTGGTTATCAGGAGCAGTGCTAGGTGTTATAAATAAAAAAGTAAGCTATGAAAAGTAGTACTGTAATAAATATAAAAGATTAATTCTGAGGTAATAGAAATCACATAAAATTATAACTATAGTAATCTCCTACATTTTCTCTACATTTTCTGTAACAATTTGCCCATTTGCATTCAGGAGATGCTGCGGTTGAGGTAGGTTAAACCGTTTGCCTGAAATCATGCACTGAGTGAGTCCAAGTCTCCTTTCTTAACCCATACCTCCTTCCCAGGAAACTATACATCAAGAATTCCACTCTTTTCATCCAAGAGTAATCTTGGGTTTCACATGATTTGGAGGTGTCACTCTGAATGGCAAGGAAAATCGTACTTCCCAAAGCAATTTTGCTCCATGAATTTTTGATTTCTTAATTTGTGTATCTATAACTTTAGGCAGTTTCATGCATCCTACATTATACACCTTCACAGCAACTCTAATGCCATACTTGGTAGAGCCAGGATTGGAAGCTGGAGGTTCATTAATGTTCAAGCTCTGTTTATTTCTGCAGATCACACTGCTGTCATTATTAGCTGCATACCTTAGGCAAATCACTTACCCTGTGTGACTCTCAGCCATCTCATTCATCAAGTGAGTGTGATAATTATTTCCTCCCAGAATTGTTGCACAACTGAGATGTCACCATGTAAAGTATACGACTCCAGCAGAAGCATCAGCTATGTGGTTAAAGCTGAGGACTACACTGCAGCGGGGTAGGTCATGTAACACAGCCTTCTTCCCTTTTCCTTCAAATTCAGAAAGAGTGAGAGCAAAATGCGGCCAATGGAGACTTCTGAGTAAGAGGTTGCTCTGCAGGCCTGCACCATTGTCACTTCCCTCTGAGATCTTGTTAGGGATTCCTCAGGGGCATTTCTAAATTGCTTGGCCCATAGTGGTACAGTCTCCAAAGTCAAGTGGGGCTTATTGCATCCTGGGTCTTGGTGGGTTATCCCTCCCACAGCCATCAAATGGGAATGGCTATGATAATAACAACGAGCTGTGGTCCATTGTCTAAGAAAGGAAGAACAGTTCCAGAAAAATGCATTAAGGCCTACCCTGCGCTAGGCTAACCCCTGAGGGAGACACAGAAGAGAATCAGCCTGGTGAGGTTCAGACAAATCCACAGCAAAAACAAGGCAGTATACAGGAAAGTTCCTACCGGGATGGGCATGTTCCAGGAGGGCATGTTATTTCAGAGGACTTACAAGCCCAGGTTCTTCAGATGAGAATTTCACTTATCTGGTTGGTTATTATAGCATGAGAAAGTGTAAGAACATGGGTCATGCTTGACACAGATCAGCACTAAAAGCTTCATTGAGCTCTTATACAACACTATGGTCTGAGGATATATACATCAAAGTCTTTGTCATTATGGAGTTCTGGATCCAGAAAGGGAGACAGGTGTAAATAATTATGGTAATGATGATTTCATAAAATAAATAAGAAGTTTTAAAAAGGAGAGTGAGAGAGGGCCTGGTGCAATAGCCTAGTGGTTAAATCCTTGCCTAGTGGTTAAATGTGCTAGGATCCCATGTGGGCTGCTCCACTTCTCAGCTAGCTCAGCTCTGGCCCTTGTGGCCCCTTGGGGAGTGAACTAGCAGACACAAGATCTTGTTCTCTGTCTTTCCTTATCTCTGTATATTTAACTTTCCAGTAAAAAAAAAAAATCTCAATTAAAAAAAAAAAAGAGTGAGGCTGGGAGATGTTTGGTTTCTTGGTTAAGCTGTTGATTAGACATGAAATTGCCTGAGTTCAATTCCTGGCTTCTGATTGCAGCTTCTTGGTAGTGCAAACCCTGGAATGTGATGATGGCTCAAGCAACTGGGTTTGTAACCTCCATATGGGAAGTCTTGGATTGAATTCCTGGGACCTCCCACACCTATTCTGTAGGCATTTGGAGAGTGAGTCAGTAGCTGAGAGTATTCTTTCCATCTTGCAAATACATGAAAAATGTAAGTGAATAAGGAGAGTGTAATTCTGACTTAGAGAGGGAGCAGGCACTCTGCAAAGGAGCTGATATTTGAATTGTGTCCTGGGAAAGGAGGAGGAGCTTCCCAGGCTGACTATGGTAGGAGTGAGCAGTGCTGTGTGGCAGGTAGCAAGCCAGGAAAATATTCCTTTCTTCACCCAAGGAAATTTTGGCTCTGGAGGGGATGATTTTTTTTTGTTTGTTTAAATTTATTATTTTTAAATGTTTGATACATAAGTGAAGAGTATGGGATGATTTTTAAAAATTAAATTTATTATTTTTAAATGTTTGATACATAGGTGAGGAAGAGGGAATACATTTTTCCCCAGTATAATTGCACATGCTTAAATGAAAGAATGCAGCAAGCTAATCAGCTGCATGAACGTATGGAAAAGCACGATATGTGTTTCAGTTTCCTCATTTGTATAACTTGTGTTTCAGTTCCCGTACGCCTACAATTCAAAAATAAAGCATCCAGTACAGAGCCTGACCTATGCAAAGTGTTATTATTTTGTTTCATCACCTCCTTTAGTCCTCTCGAACAGTCTGGGCTGTGGGCGATTTTCTCCAATTATTCAGAGCCGGCAGGTGACCTGCCTTAAAGTTCACAGGCCAACCCGGGCGTCCGCTCCGGGTTTTCCCAGGCGGGCCCCGGGGGAGGCTCTGGTCCGGCGGCGGGCACTCCGGCGCCAGGGTTTGGGTGCCGCCGCGGCCTGCTCGGGGCCGGCGGGCCGGCGGGCGGGGCCGTGCGGGGCGGGGCGGGCGTGAGGAGGGAAGTTGTCGAAGTTCGGGGAGCCGCCCGCCCCGGGGCCTCGCCTACAGCCGCTCCCTCCGCCTCCTCCCCGCCCCGAGCCCCCGGTCCGCCCGTCCTTCCTTCCCCTCCCCGTGCATGATGGAAACACCATGGCTGCGGCAGCCCAGCTCTCTCTGACACAGGTAACGCCGCGCCCGCTCGTCCTCCGGCTTCGGCCGCCCGGTGTCCCCGGCCCCCTCCCCCACCGCCCGACGCTTGACCGGCCCGGGCAGCTGCTCCCGGCTCGCGCGGGGCCGGGCGGCCGGTGTGTCAGCGCGCGCGCGCGTGTGTGTGTGACTGAGAGGAGGAGGACGCCATCCCGAGCCCTAGCTCCGGCGCGGGCAGCCCCGACCCCGCCCTGGGGTGGCTCGGCGTCCCCCACCCGTCCTCCCCTCCTCCTGCCGGGCCCCACCTTGCGCGCGTCCCACTGCCCACTCGGCGCGGCCGCTGAGGGGACCGGGTGTCCTCCCCGCGGGCTCCGCCGGCGCGGGCCTCGCTCACGGCGCTCGGCTCTCTGACCCGGCCGGTAACTTTGCTCCCGTGCGCCAGGTGAGCTCCTGTGGAGCTCGCGCGGGGCAGCGCCGATCCCCGGGGCGCACGAGGCTCTCCCTCGGGGCCCGGCGGCCTTCCGTGGCCGGACACTTGTCTTCCCCTTGTCTCTCTCTCACCTGCCTCTGCCCGCCGGAGTTGCGCGCGAGCCTTCCTTTTCCCTGGGACTTTCCTCCACGCTTCTCGCCCGCCCAGCTCCCGGAGGCGCTCCCCTGCTCGCCCCTCCAACCTCCCGGTCAGGTGTCCCGGGGCAGACTCGCCTGGATCGGCCGCTTCTTATCCAAGTCCACTTCCGCCCACTGCCGGGGTTGGGGGCTCCCACAGGGTCGCTATCCCGGCGGGTAAAAATGAGCCGCCCTCTAACAGGTGTGTGTGGGGGACGGGGGAGGGCGCAGATCTTCACCACAGCCAGCTTGTTCTCGGGGTCCTTCCTCGTGCCTTTCGCTGCCCTCAGAGACAACCCCTTGGGCTGCACAGAAGACGGCATCCACTCTGGCTGGGAGCCCGGGGCCTCCCTCTCCGTAAAGCAAGCCAGACGTGATCTTCCCATCCTGTCCAGCATGATGGGGTGACAGACACCTGCCGGTCCCTCCCTGCCGCTGCTCTCTTCACAACTCTTGTCTGCAGAGCTGGGGGCTGTGGGCTTGCCAGCAGGGCCTGCCCCAGGCTTGCAGCCTGCCCCTGTGGTATCCCCTGCCATCTTGTAGTCTCCTTGGCCTAGATTTGTTCTGTGTGTCTCAGGCTTCCACGCTGGGGTGAAGGTGTGTTTGAGCAGGGAAGTGTGCCTGAGTTAGGATCCGGAGGCCTGGGCTGGTTCTCTCTAGGGAGAAATGCCTTCTCGCCAGAACCTGGAGTTTAAGCTGGAGTGTGTGGGTCAGGTGGACTAATTGATTCCGGGGTTCAAGGGTTCTCAGTCTCTTAAGTGATGCGTGTTTGTGACTGAGATTTGCTGCCGGTCGTACTGTTTCCTCGCGCTGATAACAGGACGGACTCCTGTAACAGGGAATGGAGTGGCTTAGTCTGGGTCAGGTTCCTCCTGAAACTCCAAGTCGAGGCCTTGGAAACAGTGGCTTCTGGGTGTTGACTTTCTGTGACTCTAGTTAGTGACTTGCATTAAACAAGATCCCTGTTGGCAAGCTGTTGTTTTCTGACTCTGTCGGCCAATTCTGGCAGGCTTTCCCTCTTGAAGATTTTGTTCTTTTGACAACTTGTGTGGAGTGGCTTCTCGGCTGTGTGCGTAGAATCTCTCCCTAGGTTAATAGTGTGTTTTTAGTTTCTGTTTACTGTCACTCATTGCTAGGGCTTTGCTTTACACTCATAGTTACTTAAATAAAGGAGGTATGTTCTTGTGGTCATGTATTTGGGTATTGACTCAGTAGTAGGTATTATTATCCTTCAAGGTTTCACAAGTGAGAGAATATACATTGGTGGTTAACACTGATCATTCCAATGTCCTAGTGGAATATTTGGATGTTTAGATGTTAGAGCAGCATATTGTAAAGGCCCACGACAAAATAACCTTTCTATCTGTTGATATTTCCTTACACAGCTCATTATTTTGAAGCTTGGCAGATTTATAGTTTTCACATTTAAATTTAAAAAAATAAAACAAAATTTTAAAACTACTTGGCTCGGAGGTATCATGTGCATAATTGATCTTTTTAGGTCACTCTGGTAACTCACCTTCTTGGACATAGGCATACTGAAGTGAGATAGCCCTCAGGGCAGGGCCTTTTTTTTTTTTTTAAGACTTGTTGATTATTATTGCAAAAGCAGATTTACAGAGAAAGGAGAAACAGAAAGAGGTCTTTCATCCACTGGTTTACTCCCCACATTGCCACAGTAGCTAGAGCTAAGCTGGCCTGAAGCCAGGAGCCAAGAACTTCTTGTGGGTCTCCCACGTGAGTATGGGAGCCCAAGGCCTTGTGCCATTCTCCACTGCTTTTCCAGTCTCCTGTAAGCGGGGAACTGGATTGTAAGTGGACCAGTTAGGACACAAACCAGTTCCCATTTGGATGCTAGCACCTCAGGATGGAGGATTAACCTGTTGAGGCATTGTGCCAGGCCCAGGGCAGGGCCATTTTAAAGTCCATCTGTTTCAATGCCTACTTAGAAGAAAGTCATTAATAGGACTGTTGCATGAGTGGCTGGAAAGAAGAAAGATAGTGATGATGAAGTTGGTTTTTGTCTCTGGTTATGAGATATGGTGATGGTTGTGGAGTAGGTCAGTTCATTTATTCAACAAATACATGTATTTAAATTAACTTCATCTTCTTATTTTTTGAGAGAGTGTTCATGCTGCCGATGCCCACCAACAGGCAGGACTGGGGCTGAGCTACAGCTGGGAGCCAGGAACAGAATCTAGGTCTCCCACTTAGGTGACAGGGACCTAACCACTACTTGGGGGGGGGCAGGATTCACAATAGCAGAAAGGTGGGTCAAGAGCAAGAGCTGGGTGGTGAACCCTTGTACATTGATATGGGGTGTAGATGTCTTAACTACTAGGTTAAACACTTGCTTCGACAAATATTTTTCAGGTACCTGTAATCTGCTAGGCATGTCATGCTGGGATGTCAAAGGTGATTTTTTCTTTCTTTCTTTTTTTTTGTTTTTGCATTTTTGAAGTAAATATCATTGGAGGAATTATGAAACATAGTTTATGTCTTATTTCTGCCAGCTGACCTTCCAAGTACTTGAGCTGGCATCTGCTGCCTAACAGTGTATACATCGTTGAAAAGCTGAAAAGCTGGATCGGAAGCAGAGTAGTCAGGCACTCAGATGTGGGATGCATGTGTCCTAGGTGGCAGCTTATCTGCTATGGCAGACTCCTGTGTGCCGTGGGGCTGCTGTGCCGTCTTGGTGTTTTCAGGTGTCAGTTATTCGCGTGGGTGTTTGTCTTGGAGGTCATGCTGTGGGCCAGGGATATTGGCATTTGACATTGGGATGCCTGAGTTGTGTGCCCTACTCTGGCTAACTCCAGCCTTATTGCAACTGCATATCCTGGGAGGGATCAGTGATAGCTTAAGTAATTGGGTTCTTCCACCCACGTGGGAGACCTGGATTGAGTCGCTGGTGTCTGCTGGGCCCAGGCTGGATTATTACAGGCATTTGGGGAGTGAATCAATGGATGTGGGTTCTGTCCCTTGTGCTAAGTGTGTCTTAAAATTTAAAAAAAAAATTAATTCCAGTTGTCTCTATTAGATATTCTGTTTTATTGTAGGTGAGAGGTAAAACATGAGTAAAAAGATCTGAGTTTTTGTTTATGGTGGTAGATCATGGAAAAGGTATGTAGTTCTTGCTTATTAAAATTGTTTTGAAAGGCAGAGTAAGGAAAGAGAGAGAGAGAGGAAGAGCTGAAGGGAGGAAAGGAGAAGGGGAGAGAGAAATGTCCTCTGGCTGCTGGTTCATGTCCCAGATGGCTCAGTAGCCAGGACTGGGTCAGGCTGAAGCCAGGAACCTCTTTTGTTCTTCCACATAGATGGCAAGGCCCAAATGCTTGGACCATCTTCCACTGCTTTCTCAGGTACAAGGAGTTGGATGTGAAGTGGAATAGCTAGGGCCCAAACCAGGAGCCCATGTGAAATGCCAGTGCCTGTAAGAGGTGGCTTAACCCACTGTTCCACAGTACCTGTCCCAATGTGTTTTTCTTTTTTAATAATCTTTTCCAGTAGATTATTTGGTCCTCTAATGCCTACATCCCTAATAATTAATATTAGCTTTTCTTTGGATGTTGCTATATGCCAGGAATTTTCTTTGCTTGATCTAATAAAAGTGAGGGAAATAATTTACATAAACTAGCATAAGTTATAAATTTAAAATTTGAACCAAGATCTGTGAGTCTTCAAAAGCTGTCCATGTTAGCATATTACTGTGTTTACTGCCCTCATGTCGACTGTGCTCTTGTGTATATACTTTTAAGATTTAGTGGGCCAGGCACCATGGCCTAGCGGCTAAAGTCCTTGCCTTGTATGTGCCGGGATCTCATCTGGGCACTGGTTCTAATCCCAGAAGCACTGCTTCCCATCCAGCTCCCCGCTTGTGGCCTGGGAAAGTAGTTGGGGTAGGCCTAGAACCTTGGAACCCTGCACCTGCATGGGAAACCTGGAGGAAGTTTTTGGCTCCTGGCTTCGGATTGGCTCAGCACTGGCCATTGTGGTCACTTGGATGGAGGATCTTCCTCTCTGTCTCTCCTCCTTTCTGTATATCTAGCTCTCAAATAAAAGTAAAGAAATCTAAGAAAAAAAAAGATTTAGTTATTGTTATTTAAAAAGCAGATAGAATGAGAGAGAATTTTCCATTTGCTAGTTCACTCCCCAAATGGCTGCAATTTCCAGAGCTGAGCTGATCTGAAAGCAAGAGCCAGGAGCTTCCATCTGGTACTCCTATGTGGGTCCAGGGGCCTAAGGATTTGGGCCATCATCTGGTGCTTTGCAAGGTCATAAGCAGGGATACAGGTGTCCATGGACTTGGGCTATCCTCTGCAGGAAGCTGGATGGGAAGTGGAGTAGCTGGGACACCAACCAGCACCCAGATGGGATCCCAGGTGTGCAAGGCGAAGATTTAGCCACAAGGTTATTGCACCGGGCTCCTTTAA